TTGTTCTGTGAGGACACAAACAAATATTCCATAGGACCTTCCCAGCTGTCCCCAAGGCCTAAAGACCTCAGGGCTGAACACAAGAATTTCTATGGTTAGCCGATGTGACAGTCCCACCTCTGTGGCCAGGTCCAGTGGGACACACAACAGGTCACGTTCTTTGTGGTTTCAACCTCCAATTCCAGTTTCTAATTTCTTAGTATCTGTTTTTTGGCAATGCATTTGATGATATGGTTCTTACCCCAGAGTAAATTTATGCCACAAAAATATTGATAAGAATATACATTTTTTTAAAGTTTTTAGTTATTTTTGTCTTACTACAGCTTGAGGTGTTACTAACAAGAGGACGAACAGGAATCAGTGATGTGTTCTACAACTGACATCCACAGCGGTCTCTCTGCATGCTCATTATAACTTGAGGCAAAATATTGATTTATTACTATAGACCAAGTGTGCAAGATCCAGTTAAAATAGCAACATATCAATAGATGACTGAAAATAAATTACCTTCCACATTTTCCATTGAATCTGAAAATGCCTTTAAATGTAAGAAATTGTTCAGATGACCAAAAGTGTGTTATATACATATTAAGAAATATATACAATCTTCCACAGCTATTTATTCATTGTGGAATTCCGAGACTTGTGCAGTTCTTTAAAAATACAGTTGGGAAATAAAAGTAATAATCTTTTATCTAAATGTGTTCTTAAAGGAAGAAGTGGAGAGACAGAAGTGCATTTCTGCCCCTGAGAATGAGCCAGGCAGAATTACTCTATTTAGTCAATAATTTGATGTGAAAACCTGATCTCACTGAAGTTAACAGTAATAGGATTGAATTCGTAGTTTTAATTCTTCCGTGAAAGTGAAATTTTCACTTACACGGAGAGACAGGATAAGGCTAATGCATTGCTTCAGTCTCATGTAGACTTTACCACACCTCCACTTCCTCTTTACTGAAACAGAATTTACAAGTGGTCTTCACCCACCTACATAAGGGTAAGTATTTTTCTAATCAGAGTTATACTGTAAGAATAATTCTAGAATACATTTATTTGTTTTAATAAACAGAAAACACAACACATTTAATCAAGATAACATTAAATGCTTGAAAACACTCCAAATTTTCTGGAAACAGGCTTTGTCCCTGAGGCCCTAGTTTTGCCTTCACTAGTTACCTTGTGCAGAACATCGAGTCTACCTTTCTTCCTCCTTTTTCTTAAAGTGTCTATATCTGATATGCTGGTATAAATACTTTTACATAATGGAAATAATAATTTCCTCAAAGATGCATAAATCTGCACAGAGCTGATATGTTCTTCCTGAGTATACTTTCAAATCATATTATAACAATATCACCTATTTCAATGTTTAGTTACATTTTAAATTGGACTTCTAATTTTTTCTTCAAATGTAAATTGAGGGAAAATGGATTTTGAATTGTAATAAGAGAGGGATAAAACTAATTTAAGGCTTTTGATGTAGATAGATGGATACATAACTATATGGAAAAATAAAATATTGTTACATAAAGAGGTTCCACCATGCAAGAGCTGCATCTAGTAATCTAAATTAATACAAATTTTATGAACTTGATTGATTTCCACGTCAACTCAAATGCAATGCTTTGTAATAATACATGGTATAAAAACTTACTTAAGCAGGCATGAGTTATTGTCTGTATATCAGGACTCAATATTAATAACAGTACCTGGCACACTAAGTAGCTCAATTGGCTTTGTAGACACCATGCAGAGCAGGATCTCATTCAGGAAATGTTGTGGTGGTAGAATCCACACTTAATAATTTAGTACTGTTCCAAAAATTTTTCATAATTTGTGAGGAAGAATCAAATTTTGGAACACTTCTTTCTTTGAACAATACATTACTGTGTTCAAGTACTGTGCTCAGCTCTGGGGCCCCCAGCATAAGAAAGACATGGACCTGCTCGAGGAGGTCCAGAGGAGGGCCACGAAGACGATCGGGGGCTGGAGCACCTTCCCTATGAGGACAGGTTGAGAGAATTGGGGTTGTTTAGCCTGGAGAAGAGAAGGCTCCGGGGAGATCTAATTGCAGCCTTCTAGTACTTAAAGGACGCCTGCAGGAAAGATGAGGAGGGACTCTTTATCAGTAAGTGTAGTGATAGTATGAGGGATATCAGTTTTAAACTAAAAGAGAGTAGATTTAGATTACATATTAGGAAGAAATTCTTTACTGTGAGGGTGGTGAGACACTGGAACACGTTGCCCAGAGAAGTTGGATGAGGCTTTGGGCAACCTGGTCTAGTGGAGGGCGTCCCTGCCCATGGCAGAAGGGTTGGAACTTGATGATATTTAAGTTCCTTTCCAACCCAAACCACCCTATGATTCTATGTTTCTATTCTATTACTTGTGTGAGCTTCATTTAGGATAGCTGAGGAGGTACCAGCGCAAGGTTTCTTAAAAGTGATCTTTAATTTTTAATGTGAAGAGATAATTTGTAAAATGACTTCATAGAAATTTCAAATCTTCTTCCCATGACTATGCAGAATGATAGCTGCTCACTTTTATGGCCAAGTGGTAACAATGTTTAGATTTGTTTTAAGGATTTAAAGCAATAATGGGAATTTGATCCAAATTCTGCACTGTATTCTGACTCATGTCAGCAAGTGATAAACCAGTGTCAATCAATTTACTTCTAATCCTAGTTCATCTACAAGTCAGGTAACAAATTTTGAATTTCAAGTCACAATTTTGATCACTCATAGAAGTCAGAAAAAGCAGGGTTGTCAATGAAGCAAACTTGATATTCTTTCCTGCAAGTTTCCCAGACTCTTGAAACTCCTTATTTACTCTGGGGGAAGTTTTGCATTTAGACATAAATGTATATTAGTTCTGTGTTCAGTACCTTGCTCTGGAAGTCATGAGGAAAGACAATACATATAGAAACTGTGTCAGACATAAAATTATGTTCCATGTAGAACAGATTAATGATTGCTACTTTTAGCTACAGTATTTTCTTTATCTACCACCAGGTTAAATTTGTCCCGTCTCTTTCTTGCCACTGTTCACAAAGTTTTCACCTTTCATCAGGCTACTAGTGTTTGAGTCCTAGGGTACTGATCTTCAGAGATTATCAGAAATTATCTGAAGAATGTGAAAGAAGCTAGAAGAATTATGACATTTGTTACTTTGCTGTACTTTACATAGACTTTTGGTAAGTAAATAAAACATTTAAAATACTGTGGTTTGATGGTTTGCTATAAGTATAGCAACATAAGGGTGATGTGTAATATGTCTTTATGGCTTCAGGAGCGGTGTATTGGCTACACAAATTATGAAATATTTTTCATAATAGCCAGGTCAGGAAAGCCAAACTGGAATGTAATAGCAACCTAAATTCCTCCTTTTCCTATTTCAATACCTGACATGGATTTATCAGAGAAAATCTAATTTGCCTATCTCCTCTTTCCTGAACAGCACTACTAAAAGTAATGTGCATTTCAGGTCTAATGATAAAATAACTTAATTGACTGTGTGTTTGCACACAGATCTCTAATCTTATTCAGAGATAACGCAAACCACATCATTGTGTAAATTACTATGATGCTGTGGGGTATAACCCATATTGTAATCTGATCTGTACAGTCATTGTTACAATGTGCTACCTGAAAAAAAGACATTCAATTTGAAGTTGAGCTGAGTTTGAAAAGAAAATGGAAAATCATCCATTTTATGAACTGTGCAAATATGAACTGTAGGTACACTAATTATGGGATTGAGATCACCTGTCTTTTTCTGAAGTGAGTCTAAATGAGCTGCCTGATCTCCATGACAGTCAATGAAGACACAGTCAGTGAGTCTGATGATCAGTTCCTCTGACCAATAAAGGGCCCTGTCTCAAGATAAAAGGAATAATTTCCTAGACATCCATGGACTACAATGGGAATTTAGAATTTACACTAGAGACATCCCAGTTTAGGCAAGATGAATCCCAGCCTAGCTATCCAAAAAGTGAGATGTTTGAACTGGTAATCAAAGCTCCTTCTGAAGTCAATGAGAGGAGACTAGAACCTCCACAAAACAATTTATCTCATCTTTGGATGTGTGTTCATGACAGGTGGAAGGAATCATATCTCCACTATAGGGAACCTTGAAGGTTAGTTTAGATGAGACACCAACAGTGGATTTTGTTCAAGATTAGATATCTACATGTGAGGCAAGTATCTCAGCTACCATTATACTCAAAAGGGCTTGTTCTTTTGGTCTAGTGTCATTTGAGATGATCTGAGAAATCCTGAATTTTCCAGTTGCCACTCCAGATGATCACAGGTCATATGCCATAATTTCCAGCCTGTTGCAAATGTGTAAGGTGGGCTAAAGGGCATCAAATGACATTGGATGTCTATGTATAGATAAATAAATGGAGTGCAAAGAAAATTTAATGCTCTCTAAAGGAAGAATATTGTGTTAAGCAAACATAGAAGAAATCAACTATTCGTATTATATTATCTACCATAAAATCAATCACAAAAGATGAACAGAGTAAATACACTGAGATTTGAAATACAGTGTATATAAGCATGAAAAACCTGTGAGGAAAGGCTCTGTTAATATGTGCTTTTACACCAACATTCTTCTCTCCAATTTACAAGTCTGATTCAAAGATACTACTACTGCCACCATTACATGCACAGAAATGTGATGGTTGGCTCATGTGTGGAAAAGAGAGTATCAGCTTCACCCTCTTTGTTCAGATACAGTAGGGAGGAAAATATCACTCCACAGCCTTGATGAGCTGCTATGCCCATAGACAAGTACCTTCACTACCTCTTCTAAGAAATGAATCTTGACCTTGTGTAAAGAATGCAAAACTCCCACTGAAGTAAAAAAAATGCTCCATTCATATGTCTGGGAGCAGAATTCAACTCTCAGAACTAAAACAGCTTGCACTCACCTGCTGCTTTAATTCTGAAATGCATTTTCAATTGATATCTTGTATAAATCATGAAGTGAGAGCAATGTGCTTTATCAAAAGACAGTATTCCAGTCACAAAGTGCCATCCAAATGGAAAGACCCCAAAAGTAAGCAAGAATGATCAGAATATTACAACTATATTCTTGGAGTTGTCCATGACAGCCTCTTGCATTGACATTTATTTTTACACCTATTACACATTTACAAGGTATCAGTTTTCATTTGGTCATTGTTGTTTAAAGCAGGAGAAGGCTTGCTCTTCTGACCATCAGTTCCACCTTTGGATGTGTCCTGGAAGAAAAGCCTTGGCATCCACAGTGACATTAAAATTCGTTTGTATTCATTCCGAAAATTCTGGTTAAGGAGTCCATATATTATTGCATTAAGGCAGCTGTTGAAATAGGCCATGAAGTAGCTTATAATGAACAACCATTCAGGAACTTTTGGTGCCATTTCCATGGGATCGATGGCTACAGCCAGCCCAATGAAGTTTAGAGGTGCCCAGCAAAAGGCAAAAATCACAAAAACTACAAACATGGTAAGAAAGTTTCTGAAGTCGCTTGGCTTCAGTCTTGGCTTTGTTTCTGACTTGACTCGTCTCCTAACTTGAAGCACTAAAACCCAAATTCGAAGGTAGCAGAAGCTCACAATGGTGATAGGGACGATGAAGTGAATTACCACAACAGATATCGTATAGTAGGAGCTTGCAGTCTGAACAAATGTGCATGAATAGATGCGTGGATCATACTTTAAAGAGCCAACAAAAAAATTTGGCACAGTTGCAATTACTGTTAATACCCATACTAAGGAGACGTACAGCATCGTGTTCCAACAGCTGTACACTTTGTCATAGGCAAAACTATGACATATATAGCAATATCGGTTTATTGCAATTGCAGTGATGTTGAAAATAGAGCCTATTACACTTAGTCCCATCACAAAGCCGCTCACTTTACAATGCATTTCACCCAAAGTCCATCCATTGTGGAAAATAGCTAAGAGCACCAGTGGATATGGATACAAGGCCACCACCAGATCAGCCAAAGCCAGGCTAACCACAAATGCATTACCTGGGGAAAGAGAAAAATACATAGACATAAGACTGAAAGCAAGCATAGCTGTGAACAAGAAGAAAATATGATATATTATTTTGGATATCTGCAATGCTAAATTATTGATGATGTCAGCAAGCAGTAGGTATACAGGACCAATAGGTCTGTATGGAAAGTAATTCTACAATTCAACTTAGAACACCATGGAAATACCTGCAGCAACATGATGTTTCAAATCTGTTGGTGGCTCGATTATACTCTCCTTTCTATTTTAATCTTTAATAAACATAATCATCAGTGAGCTATTACATAAGCATGTGTTGAGTTGTTTCAGTGTAGCTAACTCCACAACTGGATCGAATAAGGTAAAAAAAAAAGTCTAAATCGTGCCAGGTAGGCAGGCTATTATGCCATTCTAACCCATCACTGGAGTACAACAGGCTCAACAGGTATCAAGGGGAAGGATATAAAAAACTAGGCCTGTAGGGATTAGAAGGATGTGTCAGTTTATGTCTAAATTGCTACACAATAGTTTGTAGTATAGACATTGTCTGCATAAATGGCCTACCCAGACTGTACTTATTTTCCCATTAGATTGACTAAGGAAGAGTGAATTGCCTTCACCACCCCCTGTAGAAAGGCTTATTTAATTATACAAAGGAAAAATACATGAATGCAACAGAAAGTATTCAACTTCATGGAGAAGCCTTTAGATCCTTTTCTGCTGAAGATGTTTAAAGGAGTTTTAGTGATATGATTGAGACTTATTGTTTCTCTTTAAACAGTGTCCTTTTCATCAATTTGAAATTTCTGGACATTGTATCTAAGGATACTTTAATAAAACAGTGAGATTGTAAACTATATTCCTGAAAAATGAGATTCTTACCATGGTAAGTAGTGCCTTCCTTGCTTTTTAGGAAAAGTTTGAAATAATTCTCTAGGAACTTCCCCAGAGACAGAAAATAGAAGTAATAACTTTAGATTCTTGGCATTTAGGTAGTATAAAACACGTTTCTGGTTTGCATACTCACTTTTTTGCTTAAAGTCCTTCACAGCGTGAACAGATGCACAAAAGACCCAAGTAGCTTTTAAAATTGCGTGCAGAACGTAATTAGTTTTTGAAAAGAGCAATTAGATGCTCAGTCCTACGAATTCTGAGCTTTCTAGTCCTCATCTATGAAAGGAGTTCTCCATTTAGTTTTAAGCACAGAAATAATGCTGTGGATAATGATGTAATTAGCTGGGAGCCATAAAACCAACAACCTTGTAGGATTAAACTCCTCAAAAAATGGCAGTTCACCTGTATACCGTTTCCTCCACCTGCTCTGTATCTGTAGCTCGCATAACCTGAATTACAGAACTCTCCCCATATGCTTTAGGGGAAGACCACGCTCATCAGAATTTGCCCAACAGCTGGTGAACTTAACAGAAAGCAGAAATATCCATCTGTAGCTACAGAAACATGGCTCATCTCAAGAGCAGTGTACAACTTATTTTAGGTGGTTACTTGTTATGCATTAGCAGCCTGTCTCATACTCTCTTTATACTTCATAAAGGCCACACAAGTGTTTTCATAGCTACAGTTCACTGACATGGTACTGGATGTAAGGCAATTCCATGCTATTTGTCTTAGAAGTAGGAGGTAAACCCATTAGTATTGTGTTGGGTTTTGTGCCCTCCCAAGCCACAGTCACTCCCTGCTTTAGGTTGAGGCGGGTCTATTTGAGTATGTTGGATCTGCACAAGGGGATGTTTCTTGCTGGCTTCATAAGCGCTATACTGAATACAATTCAGTAATGTCATGCTTTTGTGAAAAAGGTAAACATAATTTTCAGGTGCAAAACCACATGAAGTAATTTTTCTGTCTTAGGATTGTTCAAGCATCAGACAAATGTCTCCAGTTTGGGGCTTCACACTTCAAGAAAGAAGGAAACTCTAATTAGAGCAAAACTAGAACAAAGAAAATATTTACTAGTTTTATGATTTCTGAGGAACGATTGAACAAACTAGGGAGAAGATTGAGGCGATGTATGATAACAATCTTCAAATAAGTGAAACAGGAAAGATATAATCTATTCCCATGACTGTGGTGAACACAAACAAGCTTCAGTTACAACAAGGAAGTTTTGGGGAAATTAGTTTAATTTATTACCAACTAAATCAGAGTAGGATAATGAGAAATAAGAATAAAT